ACTGAACTCTCCTTGCAGGATGGTTCTGAACTCTCCTTGCAGGATGGCTCTGAACTCTCCTTGCAGGATGGTTCTGAACTCTCCTTGCAGGATGGCTCTGAACTCTCCTTGCAGGATGGTTCTGAACTCTCCTTGCAGGATGGCTCTGAACTCTCCTTGCAGGATGGTTCTGAACTCTCCTTGCAGGATGGCTCTGAACTCTCCTTGCAGGATGGTTCTGAACTCTCCTTGCAGGATGGCTCTGAACTCTCCTTGCAGGATGGTTCTGAACTCTCCTTGCAGGATGGCTCTGAACTCTCCTTGCAGGATGGCACTGAACTCTCCTTGCAGGATGGCACTGAACTCTCCTTGCAGGATGGCACTGAAGCTTGTGGCCCGCCTTGTTGGCATCACATACAGCGGTCTGCCCGGCTCCTTGCCCACCCTCTCATGCCACGGAGACCGAAGAGTGGCAACTTCACTGAGCCTAGGTCTGTTGACATCCCCAAAGCTTGAAGTCAGAAGCCATTTCACTCATCTGCTAGTTTGTGTGGTCTGTCAGTTTCTGCCCCCAAGCTCAAGACCAAACAACTTACTGAATGAGGGCTGCAGGACGCGCCCTGCACGGGCGGGCCGACATGCTCCCAGGCCTACCTGTAGGCAGCATGGCACTGGTGGGCTGGCTGATTTAGCTAGGGCTCCTCTGGCAGAGCCTAAACTGCCCAAAGGAATTTTAATTCCTATAGCTTACAGCACATTAGGACAGCAATCTTTGATGGAACTTGTAAAGCTGGGCATGGAAACGAAATGCCAAATCATTCTTGGGGAAAATGGCTAGAATTAGAAATGGAATTCCAAGAATGAAAACAGAATAAAAAAAAAGCCCAACTCTATGCACATTACTGATACCTTTAAATTAATAAACTGCACTTTATTACTCCCTTAATATTATTCTAATCTGCAGGTAATTTTGTAGACAAATTGTTTTTTAATTCCTTTTTATTTTTTTTACTATGGAGAAGTGGCATTTAGATTGCTAACCACAATCTACATAATTTAGAATTGGAAACGATATACAATGGGATGGAACTAAGAAAAAAATGTTTATATTGTAGTAAGATTAAATTCCTAAATTCCTTTTCCATGTGTGCAAAGTTACCCTATGTGTACCTACGGAAAAGAAATCACTCTCTAATTTTTCATTCTTTAGTTTGACTTCCACGTAATTATTCAAATACCTTTAAACTTTTTTTTTGTGATTTCCTATAATCACAAAGAGCGAAAGTCTATTTAATTTTGGTTATTAATATTCTGATTTCTAGTGGCTGCTAACAACATGGTAATTAGGTTTGTAGAGTTGATTCTAGAGCGTGTAGTTACTTTAATTGGCTTTTTGGTTGAAATGGTATTGTTTATTATAAAGAATGTATGCTTTCCTACATAAAGAACTGAAACATTCAGTTCACTTTATTTCAAATTCAGTGACAATGTGTTAGAATTTAAATCAGGCTGACTGTGTGATCCTTTTTTTTCCCCTCTAAAAATCCATCTTATCCACACTGAAATTATCTGACAAAACCCTAGGGCTACTGAGAAATCTACTTTGAAAGAGATCAAATTGTAAATCTAGGTGCACGACAACAACATTGTTAGGCAGTGAACAAAATGTTAGAGGTGGCAGTTCCTAGAGGGCTGGCCTGTCCTGGGACATGCATGGATGAGAATGTGATTCCGGGTGGTGAAGAGATGGAGGGTTCAGCTATATCCCTTAAAAACAAAACCAAAGAAAAGCCTTGCACCCCATAAGCAGCAGTCACAGGGGGATGCTGGCGTCTGCTCAGGAGGAAGCTGCCCGTCCACCCTCCGGCAGGAGAAGGTGGGAGACTGACCGAGGAAACATGACACATGTATACTAGGGTACGGGAAGGAGGGAGATGAAATGACTGGCATTTCTTGTTTTGAATTTCAACAGGTTTAATCAAGCAAATTCAGCTTTATTTATTATATTACTAAAATCTAAAAAATGCATGTTGCCTAGAAATCTGAATCTCCCGTAACTTTGCTAGAAATCTGAATCTCCTGTAACTTTGCTAGAAATCTGATTAATAGTGCTGAACTTCCTTCTTGAGAAGTTTTCTTATCAGTCTTTCTGGGTTACTTTGTTTAAAAATATATATAAGTGGCATTCAGACTTTTCCATTCCATCATAGGAACAGCTTTGGCTGTATTTGAACCAAGGGCACCTGTAAGCCAAAAATTAAATCTTAGCTAACTTAAAATTACTTTAGGCTCTGAAAACCCTTTTATATGCCAAGATGGTTCCCATAGCAGACAGCCCTGTGTTGTTTGTTTTGTGTGAAAGTGAATGATAAAAGATCCATGAAATCGACACAGAAAGCCAGAACAGCAGAAAGAACTGAGGGCTCTCCATCATCGCGGCTTCTCCCCTCTGCTGACTTGCGGAACAATGGAAGCTACACATCCCACTGCAGATCTAACACAGCTGTGCATTTCATTAGATGAAGAGCACTAGTGACACAAGTAAATAATTAACTTATTCTGGTCCGCTGACTGTGCTTATGAGACCAGTCATAGCTGACAGATTTTAATACAAGTTAACACAAAGGAACCATAATGAGCTTAGAAGTTAAAACAAAATATTTAGACAGAATTTGATGATCTCGAATTAGACAGATGATTTCTTAAAGTTTGTATTTTACTGAGTTCATTGGGGGTAAGAAAAGAAGAGTTCACAATCTTAGAATTAGACTTTTTTTTTTTTTAAAGGTATTTCTCTGTTTTAGGATTATTCACATTCTTAATCAGAGAGGGAACTTTTTATTTTTAATTTTCAAATATAAAATTAAAACCGTTTTCTCAAGGACAGAGGCATAAAATCTGTTTCAATGTTTAGAACTCTTAAAAGTTAAGGTCACTTTCCTTTAACACCTGTTTAAAAATGTAAATGATATGCAGTACGCTTCAAGTGTGTTAACACTCCCCTGGATCTTTGAAAAGAGGATGGACTACAAATAAACCATATCTAATGGAAGCTGTTGCAAAACAGTTACTGATTCATACCTTAAATGCTTACACAGCATTTCAGATTTTAAAGTAAAATTTCATCCCTGGCTCATGCTGGCATCTCAAGCCCATTGTTTATAGCACAACCTCCTGGCAGTAAAATGCAAATACACCAGCTTAGCAAGCCCAGGAGCATTTAAAGAGCTCTTAGGGACCAATTGAGAATCAGACCACAGACTACATCACCGAACTTTGAACAAATGTAAACAGACCATAAAGAAAAACATAAACATGGAACGTTATCGCTGCCAAGGACTGCAGATACTCAGTCAATAAAATATTACTCCATTGCCATCCATCTTAATTTCAAGTTATAAAGGGGAAGAATGCAGGGAGTCTAAAGAAGTCACAACTTTGTCCACTCAGGAGAGGCCAACGTGAGACCCACGGCCAGAGCTCTCCGTGTCCTGCCCTAGACACGGCAGGCTCCTAC